GTGATTGGATTTTGACAATTTTATATCCATTAGAATCGTCTCACCGAGACGAAAATTTTGGTAATCGTTTTGTCGAAAACGGACCAGTGGATCAAAAGTTATTCACTGTTAAATATTTTTGGAATTTTTAATAGTAAATTCCAAAAATCCGCCGATATGCATGATGGATTTACTTATTTGTGTACCGATAATACAAACGCAAAAAAAGAAATTTATCATTCAGTGATCTAATTTTCCAAACTAAATTTTCCAAACTAAAGATACTGGAGATTGAAAATTATTATATCCAGATTTTTTTGCCGATGAATAAAAATTTAATAATTATATTTTGATGGTTATATCGGAATAATTCTTGAATGAAATAATTTCTGTTTATCCGTAACGTAATTTGAAGTAAATTTTATATAAATAAGATTATTTTGAAGCTGCATCTACAAGGTAATTTCGAATGGGAAGTCTACCTAAATAATGAACTTCCATAGCTCATATCAGTTTGTGGCTGACCGCTCTTCGGTAGGGTTACAGTTACCATTGAACTTAGATAATGTGACAACTTCAGTTGATAGTGAATTTAATAATTTGATGTCCTCTGTTGAAACGGCTCCGATGTCAACCCAAGATTCTTTTCAACGATCTTCCCTTATAAAACCCTTATTCCCTCCAACAATTGACGACGATGACTTGGTTAAGCCGAAAAATGCTAGACTTTCAAAACCATCTAGAGCTAATAAAATTAAAAACTCTCGAGCTTGTAATTATTGTCAAAAGTCTAAAGTTAAGTGCAACTATTTGGACAGTAATTCATGTAAACGATGTGCTGAAAGAGGACTCAAATGCGCTTTTTATCCGCAACAAAGAAGAGGTCCTAAACCCGGTAAAAATACTATAATAGATACACAAAATTTGAAAGATTTTCGAAAATTGAATCGAGACTTTACACAAAAGGCCCATAAACTCGGATTTGACGTGCACACCCGAATTGTTACATATCCAAATAATAATAATTCAGGTACACTGATTCCAAATAATACAACGTTGCCCGAAGAAAATTTAATTGTAGTATATCCAGGATTCGCGCCACCACTACCAATATTATCTTCTATCGATTGTGAGACTTCGAATAGTTCAATATCAAATTTGGATGATCAACGGTTTTTCATGAACAATGAGATAGAACCGACCCTGAATTAATACCAGTTTATCCCAGCTTTCATCGAAATTAAGTATTATATGCTTAATTTACTCACTTCCCTCCTCTTCACTCAATCCCCCTTCGACGATCAGCTCTTATAGAAATTAAGTATATTCAACTTAGTCACTCATCTTTTCATTTACTCACCTTACCTAATCGAAATTACCGCAATTATGTTCGACTTAGCCATTCATTCTCTTTCCTTTTACTCATCCTATCACTTTTTCTAGCAATTAACTCTCTTGAACTACGTTCAACTTAATTATTATCCTTCTCTTCGCTCTTCTATCACCCCTTCTGACGATCAACTCTCATCGAAATTAGTATTTTTAGTTTAATAAATACCAGTAAACCTAAAAGTGCCTATTTGGACTATAACCTCCATAAATTAAGACTTTTGGAATACTTCAAGTTAAACCCTCTATATCATGTTACCTGAATAAGCTTTAAATAACCCTAATTTGGTTAATTACACATTAATAACTTTAACATCAAGACTGGATACATTTGGAAGACAAGATCGACAAAAAAATAGTACGAAATTGACAAAATCTTTTATGGAGAAAAAAATAATACGGAATTGGCAAAATCTTTGATGACAAAAAATAATATGGAATTGGCGAAATCTTTGATGGCATACAAGAATAATTAATTAAAATATATTAAGAAAAAAAAAACAACATATATAACGAATATAAGTTATACCCTTTTTTTATAATGAAATTGTGTATAAAAATATTAATTTGACAATTTGGTGGAACTCGTTGAAAATAAATTATGAAAAACACTTTAATTTTATTTAATATAAATTTTTAACCTTAAATATATATTCTAGCTTTTAATAAAACCTTGATAAAAATTTTTAATCTTTAATTTCAAATTTTAAAATAGTTTGATTCAAAGTTGGACAATTCTTTATGTCAAAAGGTTGATCCACATAATTCCCATGATTGGGCCTGTTCTTCAGTATTTAATTCTAAATATAGTTTCATAAGTCTTTTATTTCTGAGATCAACTGTTATTTCGCACTAAAGTATTGTTACAATTATACATTAAAGGCATAAAAAGAATTATCGCTTTAAATGCTAGGGCCATTAAAGATAACGATAATAGTAACGCTAACAAAAAGTGCATATCAGGTGATAAAAGATCACGAATGCGTGTGATGATCAGCGTTTTGTAATATTAATATACGATAATATTACTGAAATACCGTAATTTCAGTAAAACCATTATTATCGTGCAAACTCTTATTATCATAGATTTTTTATTTTTTTGTACGTTATTACATAAGCACAACAATCTCGAATTAAAACTCAATTGGCCAATTTTGTAAGTAATAATGACTTATCCCTTACTTAATATTAAGCAATATTATATATTTGTTACATTCTATTACTCATTACGTATACATATAAAACACATGATAATAGTCGGAGATAAGTGATAAAAATTGAGATTGAACGAAAATTTGCTGCTAAGAATAAAATTATTATAAATTTACTTATTATTACTTATTTCAGGTAATATTAGGTAATATTAATAAGTAATAATATGTAACTGACTTTGCCCATCTCTAATCGCTACCAAGATCATGTACGTAATCGGGTTTTAAATTTATTTGCCGATATTAGGATTAATGATTGATACAATAATGACGACATTTGATTAATAATAATACATGTAATAATAAGAAGAACTATTTGCGCTTCTTTGATATTGTAAAATCCAAAACCTTGTTCGTCTTGTCGAATTATAAAACCCATTATTGCATTTCAAAGTAATCAAAAAACATGCTTTGAGTGTTCAAACCGTATAAATAAAAGCCGAAAAAGAAAACGTGAAGAACAAATTTTATATGATATTTGTATAAAATCCGAAGAGACTAAACATATAGTTTATAGCTTATGGATATTGGAGAAAGCAATATGCATATGAATCTTGAGATAGTTGTGGATATTTTTCGAATGATTAATGAATTAGAAGTAAATGATGAAGAGGAAATTTTTGCAAGTTCATTAGCACTTGAGATCGTAAAGATCTATGAAAAGGAGATGGCTATTTATATGTTTATCATAAAAAACATGATAGTAAACAAATCAAGGCTACTTAACAGGAGGAAACGTTGATGTCACACAACCGATTTTACACACGGTGTGAAGCACAATACAATACTTGATCAGTCAGCTAGTACATGTTATGATTATAATTTTTATTATAAAAAAATGGTTGATCAAGTATTGTAAAATAAT